CCACACCCCAAACCCTGAAGCCCTAAACCCCAAACCGCGAAGCTCTAGACCTTAATTAAACCCCAAACCCTGAAGCCACAGAGCCAAAGCGATGACCTCTGCTTAAAGGATCATGGGACTTAGTAAGTAGGTTAGAATTGGGATCATAAGTCCCTAAGTGAGGTTATCCTAATTAAACCCTACTTATGACCTTACGTACTAAGTCCCATGAGCCTTTAAGTAAACCTTCAAATCGCAGCCGGCACCCAGCTCCTCCAAAGCAGCCACGGCTGCGAGGAGGCAGAGATCGAAACCGTTGCCATCGTAGTTTAGGCATATGATGTGCAGGTGAAGCACCTTGGGGTTTAGGGTTTGCAGTTTAGGTTTTAGGGTTTAGGGTTTAGGGTTTAGGGTTTAGGGGTTTAGGGTTTAGGGGTTTAGGGTTTAGGGTTGCAGTTTAGGGTTTAGGGTTCCGGTATTTATAGAGTTTACGGTTTAGAGCTCAGGGTTTAGGGCGTAGGCTGTAGAGTTTGCAAGGGAAGCACCTTGGTACCTGCTGATATTGTGTTTTATAAGGGCTATTTATCAAGGCTTTGATAAAGGGCTTTGTACCGGAGTTTATGCGGCGTTATAAGGACCCTTGTGCTGCCGGCGGACGAAGTCGCACAATGAAGCATCTGCCATACTTGCGATGGTGTAAGGTACTGCAGATGAATGCAGGATTCTGTCCGCCGACAGCAGGGTTCAGGCGCATGGCACATCTTGGGGTCCAGGTTGGGGGGTGTAGAGTGCAGCGATGCACAAGGTATACTTGGAGGATCATGGGACTTAGTAAGTAAGGTTATAAGTACCTTAATTGGGGTTATAAGTAGTTGTAAGTATAGTTACCCTACTAGTAAGCTTACTTGCTAAGTCCCATGATCCTCCAGGTAGGGTCAAGGCTCTGGACTGTAGAAAGATGTGCTACGATCGTTCATCCAAACCCTGTTCAACACGCCGAAGTCTTACAAGTCTTACTTGGAGGTTCACGGGTAGTTATAAGTAGGGCTGTAAGTCCCCTAATATGGGTTATAAGTATAGTTACCCTACCTATAACAACTACCCATGAACCTCCAAGTACCCCCTGACCCAAAACCCCCAAAAGCGCAATCCTGTCACAAAACTAGACCCTCAACTTTGAAGGGGCCCGCACCCTGTAATAGTGGTATACTAGGAATATAATAGGGCCCTACTATAATCCTTATAGTCCCTATTACACGGTGGGGGCCCCTTCTGACCCTCAACCTTGAACCTCAAGATCCAGATCCCCAGCATTGAACCCGCAGCGCGACAGCCCAAAAGTTTAGAACTCCATCTAAATACGTCTAAATACAACCCTAAACCCTAAGGAGTGAACCCTAAACCCTGAACCCTAAACCCTGATTCCTAAACCCTGATCCCTAAACCCTAAACTCCTAAACCCTGAACCCTAAGCCCTAAACCCTGAACCAAGGCGCCCAGGTGACCTCGGCCTTGCGCACACTCAGCTGCGCCGGGTCGAAGACGGCAGGCGAGTTCAGGACGTCAGTCAATGTCGTGGCAAGGAAGGTAGTGATGCCCAGCCTCAATGCTATCTTTGCTGTGCTTATTTTGCTACCTATCTGTCGAGGCCGCTATTGCAAAATTGGAGTAAGAGTCTGGAAAGTAGCCGCCTAACGGAAAAGGCATAGGCCCCTATCGCATAGGGGTCCATCGGAAAAGGCATAGACCCCTATTCCCAGCGGCCTACCCACTAGGCCAGAGACCCCTATCGATAGGGGTCTATGGGGAATCGGATAGGTACCTATGGCCAGGGGTGTGTCACAGGTGGGATAGGGGTCTATACATAGGGGTCTATGGCTGGGGGATAGACCCCTATAAGGCGCATAGACCCCTATCGTTTTGCGATCGGGATCTATACACCTGCTCCTCCCTTTATAAGGGAGCGAGTGCAGGAAGCAATGAATCAAATGCATACGCACAAACAACTGCACAGCGAAACTCACAGGAACGGATCGTTCTGCAGTCGGTCCGTCGGTCGCTACACGAGCACGCCGGTCTGTCACTCAGTCGGTCGGTCGGCTGATCCATGCACCGAGCGCCATGCAGACAGTCGATCGGGCAGTCGGTCAGTCGGTCTGCCACTTTTTGTGATATAGGAAGAGCCGGCATCGCCAAATGAGGGGTGCTTAAGATATATGGTAAACCGGAATCGCCACATGACGGGGCGTGTTTCAGGTATGTGGTGGACCGTTGTCGCCAAATGTGGGGACATGTTTAAGAAAGATGATGAATCGGCATCCAGTGAGGGGGCGTGTTTACAATATACGACGACCTGTTATCGCCAAACGAGGGGGCGTGTTTAAGATGTATGATGAGCCGTTATCGCCAAATGAAGGGGCATGGTCAAGAGATATGATGAACCGGAATCACCAAGTAATGAGGCGGCGTGTGTAAGATAAATGGCGAACCGAAATCGCCACATGAGGGGCCGCATTTAGGGGCCGTGTTTAATATATGACGAACCGATATCATTAGCAAAACATGCGAATGTAGCGAGCGATAGTGTCCATGTGCACTCACGTACAGCTGCGCAACGAGGTCATATGTCAAATCATTCGAAGGTTTTGTTCTGCACTTGGACAGGGCAAAGAAGCAGGGTCTGTGGAAGAACCTTTCAAAGGTCATATGTCAAATCATTCGAAGGTTTTGTTCCGCGCTTGGACAGGGCAAAGAAGTAGGGTTTGTGGAAGAACCGTTCAAGGGTTTGGGTATCAGGGTTCTGAACCCTGCTTCGGCAAACCCTACTTCCTTCACGTTCCCGCATGCTCTGCTACTCCAGTGGCTGCATGAGATGGAGGCTCCTTGCTGCGAGAAAGCCGTGCACGAAAGCTAGTAGGTCGTGGCTACTGCACAAGTCAAAAGTGCTTCAAACAGGACAAGGAAAGGCATAGGGGCCTATTGCTTGAGAGATAGGCCCTATCGCGATCGGGATAGGGGGCTATGGAAAATCGATAGGGGCCCGTGCTGCATAGGGGGCTGGCCTAAGTAGAGATAGGGCCTATCTATAGGGGTCTGTACGAATTCCCGTAGGGGTCTATCAGTGGGGGCCTATCGGAAAATGCATAGGGTCTATCTGTAGGGGTTTGTGGCCGCGGGAGGGGTCGGGCGCATAGGGGTCTCTAGGAAAAGCATAGGGGTCTGTATAGGGGTCTATGGACGCCTATGGTAGGGGGCTACTTTCCACACTCATCTTCCAAAATTGCCTACTGGCTGATATGGACCCCCATGCATTGCTTTTACGACAAACATTGCCACCGTTACTGCCATGACTGTTCTTACTGCTACTACTCCTGCTACTATTGCTATGATCCTGCATGGACTTCCTTCGGCCATTGAAAGAAACGAAACAAGCATCTTCAACAAGTGCTACAGTCGGATGCGAGCGCTCGAACATTGTTTATTCGTGAAGCCCTTGAGTCCCTGCCAAGTTTGTATGTCGAAAGCCCTTGAGTCCCGGCCCCTGGCTTGGAGGGTCATGGTTAGTTATAAGTAGGGTGATAAGAAGGGTATCTGTACATAAAACCCATCTTAGGGGGACCTTGCTTATAACTACCCCTGAACCTCCAAGTGCACCATCAGCCCCATGCCAGGAGGAACAAAGAAACCTGGAGCACCATGCAGCCTGGACGCACAGAGCCTAAACTCCAAACCCCTAATTTAGGGTTTAGGGTTTAGGGTTTAGGGTTTAGGGTTTCCGCTTGGAGAGCATACCCTGCACCACAAAACTTCACCAGAAGACCCGGTTAACCGTCTACTGCGGGACTGCCAAGCACAGCATTGTTTACTATGATGTGATGATGTGACGGGGGTGATGTTAACGATGATGACGACATGATCATGGAGATGGCGATGATGGGGATGGCGATGGCGATGGCGATGGTGCTGGTGACTGTGGTGGTGGCGGTGGTGGTGGCGGTGGTGGTGGCCGTGGTGGTGATGATGATGACGGTGGCGACTGTGGGGATGATGGAGCTGATGATGCTGCTGATGATGATGATGTTCATGATAAGGTTGATGGTGATGCTGATGCTGACGATGATGATGATGATGATGATGATGATGATTAAGTCAAAATTCCTGCAAAAAGAATCTCAACAGCCAGGGAGCGTCCGATGCTTATCCCGGAAGAGTGCCGAAGCCAGTGGAGGGAACCTGCAAGAAAAAACGCGAGTTTACGTAGGCTGCCGGGTTTAGTTTAGGGTTCAGGGTTTAGGATTTAGGGGTCTCAGGATGAGGTCTTTGGGGTTTAAGATTTCAGTTTTCAAGGGTCCTGAGGGTTCTGTGTCTGTGCATCAGGGTCTTGGGCTTAGGGTTTTCAGGCCTGCGGCTGGCGGGGCCCCTGAACGCTCGGAAAACTCATGCTCCCTAACCATGAAGCACCCCAAGCCAGCAACCTCAAATAATAAAAAACCGAATCCGAAAGAAACGAATCCATCAAAACCCTCAAAAGCCTAAGTGACTTCTCGCGCGCCTTAATTAAAAGCGCGCAAGACACCACAAAGCTCTTGTAAAGCTTCTGAGGCATCAACACAAGCCTACATAAAACCTGTTTAAAGGCTCAAAGTCCGAGAACCTCGACCCCCTAAACCCTGTAAAATACGGGCCTTAATAATTACCTATACGATTTTGAAGGCTCCTTATTATAATTGTGGTATAATATCCCCCAAACTCTTATTCTAAGTGTTAAGTTATAGAGCCCTTCCAGTACCCTTATAGACGCCTTGAAAGGAACCCTATTCTAGTTATTAAGGCCCCTATTTCACCCCTAAGAAAATGGCAGCCAGAGGAGCTCGACCGAGACTTCGATCCGTCCTTGAAGAGGCTGATCTTGCACCTTCGGGCCACGGCTTTGTGTGTAGGGCTTGGGGCTTAGGGCTGAGGGTCTTTTAGCGATGTGGCTTGTGTCGGTAACGACGCGCTCCTGAATTCAAAGAACATGCCTACAGGGACGGCCAGTCGCCTGCTACAGCACTGCGTACCGCGTCCTTCGGACCATAGAGCAAAGCTCCGGTCTGAAACACAGCAGCAAGCGCACCCTCCGAAAAGTGGTGCAGCTCATTGCTGCTATCCAAAACTGAAACAACAGACACGGCCAAACGCCAGTAGTCTGAGCCCTCGGGGACTGTCCTAAGCACAGCAAGGACTTCGTCATAGCCGTGCGCCTCTACCGAACACGCAAAGAGCTGAAAGAAGGAGTGGAGCTGCTCAGTCTGGACGAGTGCCAGGAGACGAGGCAGCGGATCAATTGCGCTGGGAGGCTGGACAAGTGGTTCAAGAGGAGGGTGGTCGAGGGTTGCCCACCACTGCTGGGGTCCGACAAGCTGAGAGCAGGGCATGCGCTTGTCTGCAAGGACCTCAGCCTGCGTGCCGGCAAGATCTGACTCGCGGTAGATCGCGGCACATCGCGCAGATTTGCGGAAATGTTCTGAGAGCCTGCCTGTGCTCCAAAACTGTCTGCGGCAAACCTCGCAAGCCGTGCCAAAAGCCTGCGCAGCGGCTGATTTGTGCCCATGCACCTTGGAGCGGTGGGCCGAAGCTGCAGCCCGAGTCGTGAAGACACTGGGGCAGTCCGGACACTGGAAGCGGAGCGTTCTGGGTGAACACTTGATATCTCGCATGTAGACAGGGCCTGCCTGCTGGATCCTCTCATGCGCGTGTGCACGTGCAATGGCCGGCTCGACAAGATGGCATCGGCCTGCCACACAGAGCTTGCGGAACCGGGCCAACAGAGCTCGCGTGCCACCTTGGTTGAAAGGCCACGCGTCAATCCACGCCGCCGCATCGAGATCGGCCTCTGCGTATGCTTTTAGCGCAGTGTCCTCAGTGACGCGTGCAACGAGTGCTACATCAGAGCGCAACTGGAGGATCCATGCTCCATGATGCGCAAACTGCAGCCTCGCAAAACGGCCACCACGGTGGGCGATGCAGGCCAGCAGCCTGACCCGGCTTACTGCCAAAACCTCCTCCGGGAGGAGGGCACGCGTGAGTGCGCAGAGCTCGGGCTGGCTCAAGCGCCCACTGGAGCAACCATGGAGCGGCCGTATAGCTCCTCGGAGTAGTCCAACATAGCGGGCGACATAACTTTCCCACGACTCAGTGCTTCCAAAAAGCCATGTACCAGCTCCATGCAGGAATCGACTCAGGATGAGGGCATGGATCATGGACTGGCGTTCGGCCAAGGTCAAATTGGGGTTAGGCAGTAAACGGGTCTTGACAGCCCGGTAGACGCTTCTGGCCTCGCGATGGCGGTGTTCAACAGCAGGCCCAATGTCTCCCCCATCCGTGCGCAAGCTGCCTAGGTGTTCGTAGTGTAGAACACACCGCAGGAGGAGCCCGGTGCATCCTGGGACACAAATCGGGACACTGCCGGCTCCCTTTTGCATGACTTGCACCTTGGCATCGTGAGCCCCAGGACCATGCCAGGACACAATGGCCTCGGTCTTACCTTGGTCAAGGTTGAGGCCAACTCCGATCAAACTCAGATACTGGTAAATGAGCGCGGTCGCCCTAGCGGCATCTGTAGCTGCCGCCTTGGCGGATTGGGATTGGAGCAGTACCGCGATGTCATCCAACCAGGATACTGGATCAGCAAGTTGCGTGACCAGGCGATGTAGTGTTCGGGCTTCTGTCCGAGCTGTGGTTTGGCCGATCTGCGCCATGAGTGCACGAACCCCATCCGGCAACTCCTGCGCCTGTCCCAGCTGCTCGATGAGCTGGTTCAGCACCTGGCACTCCGCCGTAGGCTCCGTAGCGCCACCACTCACCTCCTTGGGGGTGGGCACTGCCTTGGCCTTGGGAGGTCTCGGCAGCTGTGCTGTAGTAGGTACCGCCGTGGTCGTCGCTTCTGGCCGCTGCTGGCTTGGCTGCTGTCCTCCCTTGCCTCGCTGGCGGGGTGATCGCGGCCTTCTTGTCCGCGGCGACTTGCCACGCTGCTGGTCCCCTTTCTGGTTCCCCTTGGGTTGCCACCAGGCCTCGTCTCGATGGCGTTCTGGTGGTTGTGATGGTCTGGCGCCTTGCCGATCCATCACCTTGCTCCAGTAGCCTCCGCACGTAGGGCAGTAGGCCGCCGAGCTCTTGTTGTTCTGAGAACATACTCGACATCTCCAAGGGGCCGACATGGCTCCAAGTAGTCGGGTGGCCTGCTCCGGCAGGCTGCTTCGAGAGTGGTGGCTCGAAAGTGTCCGTATGGCCGGCTCCACCTGCCTCAGGTTCACCAACGATCCACCAACAAACTGTCGCAGAACAGTTCGGCTGCGAGTGCGCAACCGCCTCAGGTTGCGATGCCAGCTCGGCTCCCTGTAAGAAGGGGCCGCCACCCTGGCCGCTTGTCAGGCAGGCAAAGAAGACCAAAGCCACAAGCCACAACCTGTTATACATCCACTGGCCGATTGGCCGCCAGCCACCGCCTGGTGGGGCAAGGTTTGCAGACTCTCCTCGCAAGCGTACAGAGAGCGCAATGAAAAACCAGTGTTCGCGGGTGCACTCCGCACCACGCTGAGGTTTGCCAGGCCGAGGGACCGCAGGAATCCTAACGAAACCAGCAGAAACTACCTCGCCTTAGGCCAAACGCTTTAGGGTTGAGGGTTTAGGGTTTAGGGCTTGGGGAATGGGTTTGGGGCTTAGGGTTTTAGGGGTTTAGGGGGTTTAGGGTTTGGGGGGTTTAGGGGTTTGGGTTTAAGGTTTAGGGTTGAGTGTTTTGGGTTTAGGGCTTGGGGCAAGCTCGGGTTTAGGTCTTCGTGTTCTTGGCATTAGCGTCTAGGATTCAGGGTTTCTCGGTTTCGGGCTGTGCCTGGGCACCTGGGCACCTTTCTCCAGTCGCTTGAAACGATCGGAGTATATCAGCAGGTTAAGGGGCATAATATAGGGGCCTTAATGATTAGAAGAGGGTTTTGGGGCCCATTATACTACAACTATAGTAAGGGACCCCAAAAATAGTGTGACTAATTATTAAGGCCCCTCCATTAGGGCTGTGGGAGGGTTCGTCTATTTAAGCTTCGGGGCGGAAGGCCCGAGTCGAAGCGACTGGAGGCCTTGTGAGGGGCCCCTTACTTGGAGGATCATGGGACTTAGTGAGTAAGGTGAGCCTTAGGGTTTAGGGTTCCTTTAAAAGGGATCTATAAGGCTTCCTACAATGGGATCTATCAGGGTTTAGGGTCTACTTGGAGGATCATGGATCTTAGTAAGTAAGGTTATAAGTACCTTCCTTGGGGTTGTAAGTAGATGTAAGTATAGTTACCCCGATAGTAACCTTAGTTACTAAGTCCCATGATCCTTTAAGTAATCTGAGAATCCTCTTGCCGGGTGCTCTTCTGCAGAAAGCCAGTGTTGAAGATACCTATGCAACGTGAAGTTGACGAGAAGCCGAAGAATATTAGTTCTAGTGTGAACTCGTGGCACAAGAAACAGAAAAATGCATGTCTGAAGATAACTTTAGAACAGGAGTACAACTCACAAAGCACTGAATGCCTCAGAACTATCCCACTTAAGCTGGTGACTACTACTACTCATACATTGACTGCATATCCCAGGGCCCATAAATCTCTTCAAGAAAACTGAGAGGCACCCTTCAGAAACCCGTAGGAATCTTAAGAACCTCTTGGAATCACTCGCAAGGTCAAGGATTCAAGTTCTAGGTTTTAGGGCTTTAGGACGTAGGGTGTAGGATTTTTGGCCAAAACTTTGCAGCTGAGAAACCCGGATATACAGTTTAGGCTTTCTTCGCGCTTCACCGTTTCTCATGGCTTAGTGATTAGGACTTAGGGTTCATATGGTGCCTGAGTAATTAGAATCTCGGGGTATGCTATAGTTTACCTAGAACGAGAAACCCCTAGGAATAGTAATAGGAATGATCTTCACCTCTAAAACCTAAACCCTTAAACCCCTTAACCCTTGACCCTACACCCTAAACCCTACACCCTAAACCCAAACCCAAAATCCAAGCCCTAAACCCTAAACCCCTGCACCCAAACCCCAAACCCTAAGGCCCACCTGCGCTGCTTCCATGACCTCTGCTCGGACTCCGGCAAGGACGGCGGAGCGGCCCAGCCGCAACGAAGCCGAACCGAAGGAAGAACCTCTTTAGGGATTTAGGGTTTAGGGTTTAGGCTTTAGGGATTTAGGGTTTAGGGTTTAGGCTTTTGGGATTTAGGGTTTAGGGTTTAGGCTTTTGGGATTTAGGGTTTAGGGTTTAGGATTCAGGGATTTAGGGTTTAGGCTTTAGGGTTCAGGGTTTAGGGTTTAGGCTTTAGGGTTCAGGGTTTAGGCTCTAGGGTTGAAGGTTTAGGCTTTAGGCTTTAGGGTTTAGGGGGCAGGCCCTCTTTAAGAAAAGTAGGGATTTGGTTGAGGGTATAGGCCTTTGAGGGTTGTTGACTCCTACATCTCGGTCTAGCGATTGTTAAAGACCAAGAGTTCGGGGCTGGACTTTAGACAAGGATCCGGCAAAAGTGAACCTGGGGATTAGGATGGATAGATGGATTTGGGGTTTAAACCCTGTATAGCCCCCCAGAACCACATGAAGAACAACGGTATAAACTTACTCCACCGAGGGGTAATGGGCCTCCGGCTACAGGTTTCTCAGTTTGGCATATGCTCGGTGTATCTGAGTTCCCTAAACCTTAACGTGCAACACCCCCATCCTATGAAGCCCTACGACAACCCTATAGAACAAAAACACGCACAAGTCATCATAAAGCTAAACCAAACTTGGAGGATCATGGGACTTAGTAAGTATGGTTATAAGTACCTTAATTGGTGTTATAAGTACTTAGTAGTATAGTTAGCCTAATAGTAACCTTAGTTACTAAGGCCCATGAGCCTTTAAGAACTCCCCTGAAGCCCCTAAACCCCTGAAGCCCAAACCAAATACCCACCAAGCACAGGAACTCAGCTCTCAACCCTAACAAACATTGGGAGCCAGGAACTCATTCATTCTGGTCCTAGAACTATATGGGCGGTTGTCAAAATTAGGGTACCTTCTTGGGGAACCCTAAATGATAGGTGACGTATTATAATAAGGACCCAAAACGGGACCCTAATTTTGACAACTACCTGTATATAACCCCTGATCCCTGAACCCTACTCCCAGGGGAACAGGAGGGACCCTTAATAAGGACCCCTTATAGCCATTATGTACCCATTATATAGCCCATTATAGGGTAGGGGTCCCCATTAAGGGTACACGCACTAGTCTATCACGTCATGACCACAGTCTCTTTTGACATACGAAACAATCAGACCCCTGAGTTCAGGGATCGTAGCCCTAAAGCCAAAACCCTGAAACCCTGATTGAAATTCAGAACCACGACACCCCTAGACCCTAAACCCCCCAAACCATAAACCCCCTAAACCCCTGAACCCCTGAACCCCCTAAACCCCTAAACCCGAAAACTCCCTAATTCCTGAACACTAGAACAAGAACGAATCAGAACCAGGGAGCTCACTCTAAAACCTGAAAACTCCCTCATCCCCCTCAACCCCTAGACCCTTACACGCCCTGAAGCCCAAACCCCCTAAACTCCCTCAACCCTCAGGCCTAAATAAAAACGACTCAGAACCCCTAAACCCCCTAAACCCTTCAGCAACCCCTAAACCCGAAAACTCCCTAAACCCTCAACCCTAAACAAAAACGAATCAGAACCCCTGAACCCCCAAACACCCTAAACCCCTAAACCCGAAAACTCCCTAATCCCGAAACTCCCTGAACAAAAACGAATCAGAACCAGGGGGCTCAAGGAGCCCTTTTGGAGGTCCATCTCACGACTGTCCCGCAGCCCGCGGCCGTCGGGGCGCAGGCCATCCTCGAGGAAGTGGCGGTAGTACTCCTGGCCGTTCAAAATCACGGTTTAGGATTTAGGGTTTGAGGTTGAGGGTTTAGGGTTTAGGGATTAGGGTGGTTTAACGATCCTCTTGCCCAGGATCAGGATTTAGGTGTAAAGTTGTCGGGTTTGGCTTTAAGAACGGGTTTGCTAGGCCAAAACCTGCTTGCGAGTTAGAGTTGAAGTGGATTTAGTTCAAGAACTCTCAATTGAGTCTCCAAGAATGTTCAATGACAACTTCACCAGCCATAGTCTGGTATCTAAACAAACAGACGCGGCTGTTGAAGATTTTGAAGGACACATCACATTAATTTGTTTCTGAAAGATGGATTGACAAACGAAATACATTGCACCAGTGTCATGGGTAGATCAACTGGATTTTCGGTTAAGGACTTCAACCCTAAATCCTAGACATCAAACCGTCGAGGCTTTCAGCATGTGGGTACTTCTCTAAATTAGGGTCCCTTTCAGGGTCCCTCTTATAAGGGTGCCGTACAATTTTGGAGGACCTGAACCGGGCCATAATTTAGAGAATGTGAAGGCCTGAGAAATCTCTTGCAGCCCTCAACACTCTATCCGCCGAGCCCCGAGCGCACGAAGAGGAACCGACCCAAGAGCAGGCTGTGCTACTACAGGGGCCTTAGTTATGAGTATAAAGTCTTGAGGTATATTATGGTATATACAACTGTATAAGGACTGTAAGAACAGCTAATGATAGTTACTACTCACGGTTTCGACTTCTGCATGACATCCCGAAGCCCAGATTCGACCCTCCTGCGGGTTGAAGCGCTGGAGCAAGTCCGCATCCATGGCGCAGACGAGAGAAGAGCCCAAACCCCCCAAATTAAGGAGTATTCCCTCAACTACATAGGGACTCTTGTTTCTTGTGTAGAGTGCACTATGGGTGTTGGGCTCTCTGGGTCGACCGAACCTCCGACGCCTTGTAACTGCGAAGATTGCATCGAAGCTCCGACAAGACCCAGACTCCTATCTCACGGTTTAACCTAAACCCTAGACTCCAACCTTATGCTCACAAGAGAGAACTCCGATGATTGGAACTCGTGCAATCTATACTTCGAGGTTTCGGATTCATGATTTACAGTAGAGTTTTAGGATACATGAATGCTTTCAGCCATGTGACACGGGAAATACAAGGCCCATCTGATCAACATGTGACTGGGGTAGGGCATGTCTTGCTGTAAAAGCATACACGGATTGCGACGGGCCACTCACCACATCACGCACCAACAGCGCTGCAGACCTCTTCGCAAGCAATGAAGAACTCACACATCAAATACAATAAA